AAACACGTTTAGATTGAATGGTAATTTATAATCAGTCACAAGAACGTCGAATCTGAATCACTTGAAAAAAACACGGGGGTGCTTAACTTTTTTCCAGGTGTATATTTACAACTAAAAGCATCTGACAATAGTTTTCAATTGTTAATTAATGGGTGTTTTAAATTGAATTTTGACTAGTAATATTCGTCTGAAAATGTGTTCTCAAAACCCATGAACCATTGTTTAAAAATGATTACCGTGGATAAAAAGGAGATTCATTTTTGTTCACCTTATAGGGCCTCAAAAACTCAACCAAATACCGGTCTGTACGTTAAGATAGTAATAACATCGTTATTGTATTGACTTTATTATTACTCTGATTTTAATTCTAGATCGTTCTTATTGAATTTTTTTTTGGTCAAGTTAGATCTAGTAACCGCGATTTACAAATAATGTGTCACCAAGAGGTTGAATTTAAGAAAATATCCGTATTCAGAGATTTCACGTAACAATAATCGACACTCGAAAGGTACTTCGTGTAAACTAGCAATAAGTAAATTCACAGTTACGTTTGTGGCCGAGTGTTTAAAATCTAAATTCAAAGAAATCTAATAGGCTTTTTCAACCTGAACAGCGTTGTGTCCCTAATAAGGCGGAGGGTAACCAATCAGCAACATCTGGACTTTGTCCTGTTATTTGAACGTAAATAAAAAAAAACGAATACAGTTAACTTTATAAGGTACCCAAAGCTAAGAACGTAGAGCATGTTCAGTGGCATCACTGCTCAGATTTTTAATCGTAGCTGTAAAATTCAAACTGAACAAGAGGGAATCCTCAATAGCCGCGGCACTTGAAATTATTTTAGGCGTGATTAGAGTAAATTAATCTGTGAAATTTTGGGCGTGTTCAAATACCCCAATCAAAAGGGTTAAACATCTAGAGTTGAAAACTGTAATTAGGTCTCAAATCGGTCAAGAGATGACGCAACTATGAGCTAAAAGTTTTGTACTTGAAAAAAACAACAACAAAGAAAACTCAGAGCCGTTCTATGAGCCGCTATGCCGCTGTAAAAAAACAGTTATTTTTGTCTATAGTAATAATTTCTACCATCAGATAAGAGGATTTAATGTATTTCACGCAAAGCTACTGGAAGGCTATCTAGGCTAGCCGTACCTAATTTAGAAGTGGTAGACTAGAGGAAAGGCAACTAGTCAACACCACCCAACGCCAACTCTTGGGCTACTCTTAACCAACGACTAATGGAATTGACCGTCACATTATAAGAGCAAGCATATTCGGGGATGGGTTCAAACCCGCGATCTACGGATTGCGAGTTCAGCGCTCTAATCACCAGGGCACGCCAAGGATACAAAAATATAAGAATTGTTGATCTAAGAATGAAGTCATATGTGACGTCACAATTACTAAGATACTTTGAATGTGACGTCATATTGGCTAAGATACTTTGAAGATCATTTTGTAATTTAAAATCAAGGTTTTTGAAGATTTAAACTGGCTTAATTTTAGTCAAGTTTTAAATAATCTTGAATTCTAGATCCAAACGTTAAATTCACTGTTGAAATGGCTTATACATTAGTACATATTTTGGATATATATTGATTGAAATATCTGGCCAAAACTCGTTAGACTTTATAAACAGACCAATTCCTCGCTTATTTAGAATTTAGAAATAACCACTCTAGACACGTTAAAAGAAATATCCCATGTACGTTAACAACATTCACTTTTCAGACTATGTTTCTTGACCTTGTAACAATATTCTATTTTAGCATATTAAGCTTCAGGCTTATTGTTGTTTGTTTGTTTTTGAAGTTAAGCACAAAACTACACAATGGGCTATCTGTACTCTACCCACCACGGGTATCGAAACCCCGATTCTAGCGTTGTAAGTCCGCAGACATACCGCTGTGCTACTGTGGGGCACTTATTGTTGTAAAGTAACAAATATTGTTAAACCGCACAGGCGACGAATATATCAAAATTAAACAATAGGTTGAACAATAGCCAAGTTTTTATATATATTTATTTAAAGAAGGATGACGTTTCGAGCTAGGGCCCTTCGTCAGATCGTACAAACTGTATAAAACCAATAAACAAGATTATTATATGAGAGTTATTTTATTAAGAAAAATTTGAAAGTACTTTGAATGTAAATACTTTGTGACTTTTCTGTGTTTCTTAGAACGTTTTTTTGTTTGGTAATTAGTGAGTGTTTTGAATTTAATTTTAACTACTAATTATATGTCTAATAGACATTGTACACCCAGACCTGGTTTGAACTTGGTGACGTTACGAATTAAACGCCTGGTTTGAACTTGGTGACATTACGAACTAAACGTCTGGTTTGAACTTCGTGACATTATGAATTAAACGTCTGGTTTGAACTTGGTGACATTACGAACTAAATGCCTGGTTTGAACTTGGTAACATTACGATATTAAAACTAAACGCCTAGTTTGAACTTGGTGACATTACGAATTAAACGCCTGGTTTGAACTTGGTGACATTACGAACTAAACGTCTCGTTTGAACTTGGTGACATTATGAACTAAACGTCTGGTTTGAACTTGGTGACATTACGAACTAAACGCCTGGTTTGAACTTGGTAACATTACGATATTAAAACTAAACGCCTACCTATTTTGGTAAGTCGCTGGAACGTGTAGATCTTCAACCTTGGCTGTCTGTCTGATAAATGAGGGTTTAGAAGATCACTATAAGGTAATTTATATACTAAATTATCAAAGGTCACCCGCTCGGAAACTCATTTGTCATGAATATTGTTATCATGCTGTCACGTACACGTATTGATATTAATGTGCTTAACACTACGTAAATTTATCAAAACTACGACGCAGCATAGCCATATATGGTCATGAGCTTCGAACCAGCTATTATCAGTCATTATGGGTAAATCGATATAAGCGTAATGATTAAACCTAATCCATGTATTTCCCGTTGCAAGAAGCGCGTCAGTTAGTTTTGTTGAAAAAACAACAACAACCCTTAATGAAGAATGGAACTGATAAGCAGGATTATTACAGAAACTGTTGTTTCTATAACTACGTCCCACGTAATCGTTGCTATGATAACAAATCGGTATTTTATCAGTATTATTTCGATATAAATTATCTTACATGGGCAGAGATGATGAAAACGTTTCACATATTATATTTTGTTTGACTCACTCAGGCTCAAGTGTGCTCATAGCTAACTTCGTGTTTTTCACAGACAATTGTAAAATAAATGACCGTACAGTACGGCCCGTATTAGATCCGTAAGTAAATATCAACAGTTTCAGTACGTAGATTATTGTTTGTTTGTTTATAATTAAGCACAAGGCTACACAGTTGACTATCTGTGCTCTGCTCACCACGGGTATCGAAACCCGGATTCTAGCGTTGTAAGTCCGCAGATGTGCCACTGGGGGGGGGACTATGTAGATTAAGTAACTATCATAATAATATATTATAACTGTCCAGATTTTGATGAAATATCTAACTTATGCGAATATACCATTCTCCAGTGGCT